AGCATATATAAGTAGTCGAGCAAAAGGACAATACACATGGCCTGAAGATTGCATTCATGCATGAAACAGACTGTTGCCGCTCGGTGTTTACCTCAATGTCGACTTTTATATTTACATACGCTCTATCCCTAATATTGAGCACTTGTGCTGATAAATATAGCATACCTTAAAACTATATTTTTATCATATATATATGCGTGTGTGCATATATATATATATGTGTGTGTGTGTGTGTGTGTGTGTATAACACCCTGTTTTATTATATATATAGTTTCTTTCATACCTTGTAACCCCCTGCGTTTTAGTGGCATTATCACTTTGCTTGAGGTGAAATGATTATATATATATATATATATATATATATATATAATTATTATTTTTATAAAAGATTATAATAAAAACATGTTGAAATCGCTACACAAAACTTTCATGTTTCAATACTTTGATTGTACTTCTTCAGACGATGTTAGGTAACTGATGATTAAATGATTCCTAAGGAAATTTAAAAACAAATTGTTACCCCTTTTCCAAAAGTTAAAGGGTCAGAAACATAAGGTCAGAATTAAAAATAGACTTGTGAGTATGTCTTTATTAACCAATTAAATGTCAGATCTACGCTAAATAGAAAAGTAATTTTAGAGAGTAGAAGTGGGTGTTATTTTTTCATGTCATGATAAACAGAGACGTAGACAGGCTGTCGTTGGCGATTACAGAAAACTAAAAGAAGCAAGAATTCAGAATTCATAATGTTATTCTTTTTCTCATATTCATTCGCACTCAACAGTACCTTGTCTCTTAATGACTTTATTACCTTGCTTGGGGTGAAATGATTAAAAAATATCCAGAATTCGCTATAACACTTCAATATTTCAGGTTTTGCATGGAGATATACATTAGGCACTGCAGCCTTAAATAATATTTTTCTCTCATATTTCTAATATTAAGTTCTTAAGACAACGAATATCCATTTTTTTAATATAAAATTTAATAGTTGTGGTGCATTTTACGAAAACAAAACATGCGCATACCATATGATTTCTAAAAAAATAGAAAATAATTATTTATTTTTTATTAATATTTAATCATTTTTTTTCTGATAGGAGGTATTTGAAGTCTTAATCTGTAGTAATATAAAAAAAATGATGAAAGAAATTATTTTTGCTCACAGTACAACTCCACCGGATTTTATTATACAAATCAATGTGTTGACAATAAAATTATTATTAACAAACTGATGTTGGTATTATTTTTTTTGACTATATTTGTTTAGAAAGAAAGTCTTGACGCATTTTTTACATGATCACTTTGAGAGTAGTTTTTCAATATTTACGGTAAAATAACTAGTAATTTTTTACGTTCTAATTGTATTTTTTATTGTTTTGTTTTTCATTCTTTACAGATTATAGAGGGGGTAAATTCTGAATCGACTGAAGTGAGTTTAAATCAGGTTTATATCAAGCAATATATGCTGTAGGTTTTTTTTAAAAGTCTCTTAAGCAATAGAAACAGCAAGGCGGTAAAAATATTCGTTCATTCTATAGAAATGAAACTCTAAGTTTCTGGACATTCCAATGATAGTTTAACCAGTTTTGATCGGGAATTTTTTCCCTCGAAGATTCACGTCGTTCTTGTTGAGGAAAATGCAAAATAAACTGCAAGAGACTTAGCAAAACAGCTCGATATAAGTCACGCTTCGACCATAACTTCATGAACTTGGAAAAGTGTCTAAACATGGTTAATGTGTCTCTCATCATCTGACTGCTTCTCGGCTTACTCAAAGAATTACCCTTAGCTTTTCATTGAGACGTAGACTCGCTAGCAAACCGTTTCTTGGGTAGAATTATCATCAGGGATCAAAAGTGGGTTATTTATATTTATATTTATATTCAACGGAAAGGAAATTTGGTTAGCAGCCAATTAAAAAGTAGAATCCATCTCCAAACCAGGACTATGCGATCTGTGTTTGGTGAGATACGAAGCGTGTCGTCTATTATGAAATGATAAACCAAAATGAAAAGTTAATGAGGTATGTATTGTCAATAGGAAGAAGTGGACAAAATTATGCAAAAAGAAAGCGCCCATCATCGGTTAAAAATAAAGGTGGGTTGCTGTTACACGATAATGCCAGAAAACTCATTCTCTGTATCAGTGGTGTAGCGTTCGTGGGACCAGAGGAGCGATTGCCCCGGGCGCTAAATCTTTAAGGGCGAAAAAAAAAATAAGTTGAAAAAATACGAACGAAGGTAGAATTTATAACAGCTCATGGCTAAGGAGATACAATAGCTTAAATTGTTTCAGTTGCGAAAAACATACCCATCCTACGCCAATGGTGATAGTCACTCAGGAAAAGTTTATGGCACTAAATATGGTACTTTCTCCTCATTCTCCTTACTCTCCTCATTTTGCTCCATCTGACTATCATCTTTTTAGATCATTACAAAATTTTTAGAGAGAAACAGTTTCTTAATTGTGAAGAGTTCAAAACTGATACTGAATGTTTCACTGCATCGAAACCTGAAAATTTTACACCCGAGGGATCAACAATCTGCCAAATAGATGACATATCGATAGAGAGGGGAAATCTCCTCAGATTTATATGAGCAATTATTCAGTCTTGACGTGTTTGTTTAATAAATCCTAACTGTGATAACAAGCAAGGTCGGTGTAAGGGTTTCGTGCCCGCCCCCGAATCTATGATACGAGGCTCCTCACTCTATTACATCGCAATTTTCATCAGGTAGTATCCATATAAAATACAAATTTTATTGTAACCTGTAATTTTTAGCACCAACTTGAGATTTTTCTTGTTAAAAGGTTTAATAATTTTAACACATTCTATATTGTGGATAAAAATAGTGAATTTTATATAGGGTTTTGTTCGAGGATTAGCATGAGCAAAACAAATTCACGAATTTGAAGAATTACATCAAAATCCACGAAAATCTTTCATCTTTTAATAGTTGTGTTTAGTTTAAATTGTAACGTATCGGGTTCGCTCTCCCAGTCGTGGTGGTGGGTACGCAAGGATTACACAAACAGCTATTTAGCTTATAAAATAGAATTAACTTTAAAATGTGCCTTGAGATGAGGGTTAACATTGTTGTGAGTATTTTTAACCCAAGCATTCGAAAGCGTAAAGCGAAGAAGCAGTTATTAGTAAAATGTATAATAGGGCAACTTTTAACGTTTGCCAAATTCGTAAAAATATCCGGGTTCATTCTGATCACATCAGATTATAGTTATTTTCTCTCGAGTGGTGACCAAACGGGTGACAATATTGTTAAGCAAATCATGCCCATAAAATCACAAATTAAATAAACAACTAATTTTAAATATTCTGTCTGAATTTCTGGGATGAGGAGTAACCACTATTTACATTCGGACTAACGTTCTTATCTTTGTTGTTGCTATTATTAGAACATTTCAGCCGTTGTGCCCTCCGACTTCTTTAGGTGTCTGTCAGTCCAGTTAATAACCTAGTGGATTAAAGCGTTGTTCCGTGAATTAGATGGCATATCAATTGTGAGTTCAATCCCTGGGCTGGGTATTATAGTCTCAAACTCAGCGAAAACAGGACTAGCAATAACTGAGCACTAGTAGTAGTAGTAGTAGTAGTAGTAGTAGTAATAATAATAATAATAATAATAATAATAATAGACGAGATATCTTTAGACAAGGACATCGGAACAAGAACAATCTACGAACCTAGATTAAGCAAGCGTTTCAGTTGAAAAACCCCGAATCGATAATGGTTAAAACGTTGTGATAACAACAACAAAGATGAGGAGATTAGTCCAAATGTAACTGGTAATAATTCCTTGTCCCAGATACAGATATATTCAGACTCAATGGAAAACAGAACTAGTAATAAATGAAGAGCGTTTAAAAGAACAATTAACCAAAGACATGAGAAGCGGAATAAAATCAATCTACCACTTCGTAGATTGAATAAAGTGTTCAATTCGAAATTCTCCGAACGTTACTCGGATCATCAAGAAATGCCTGAAGAAGGCGGGGAGAATGGGGGTGGATGGCCGAGACATTGTGATAATAACAACAAAGATACGGAAATTAGTCCGAATTTAAATAGTTTCAAATCACTATTTCTTTGTTTTGGATTAAAAGAATCAAAGAGTGGGAAAATATAAAATAGCTATGGCTACTTCCATGAAAACTACATTCCTTAGTTCCAACAGTTCTAACCTACGCAACTAGGACCCACCATACCACATAGATTATAGCGAACCACCCTCATTCCCTCGGTACTGAAGAGAAGTAAATTCCACTTGAGCAACTTCTTCCCTCGGACCCCTACTCTGCAGAACTGCTCTGTAAAACTGGCTCCCAAGAGGCTGTTTTCCCGATCACTACAATCTTAACATGTTCGTTTAGGATTAACCGTTATCTTCCTCACATATCCGCATAAACTGTGTCTCTTAATCTTTGACCCTCTACCCCGAGTGGCTCCTGAGCCTTGTACAGGGTGAACCTCACTATTTAAAAAAAAATGCTAGAAATGTTTAAGAATATGGTATGTTGCTGTTTTGAAATTTTTGTTTTGGAGCATTTTAGTCTTTGAAAAATAATGATTGAAACAATCGATGCGAAATGTTCAGCTTTCAATATTTTCTTAAAATGAATAGCTTGGCACCAAACCTTACAGTTATTGATTCTGTGTTCTAAATAAAGTCTAATTGTTTGATACAATTCCAAATCCCCTTGAAGCGGCGTTTTTATCTTTTATAAAATAAATTATCATTGTCTGCCACAATATATTTCCTCTTATAGTTCGCCTCTCTTCCTCTTTCATATATATTTTTTCTCTCTCTCTCTTGGCTTCCATACTTACTGATATCCATTCTCTGCTGACTGCTCAAAACTAAAATCCAAGTAAAATTCTGGCGACTGAGCAAGCTGGTGGCAATGCTGTATTTTAATATCGGAACAAATCTCTCAACATTACAGTGTGTCTCTGCGTCTGTTGGAACCGAGTACTGTAAATGACAGGTGGAGCCATACGCCACTTGAAGCCATCCCAGCGTTGGCATCGATCAGTAGTCACCGCCAGCGGCGCTGACAGCCAATCAAATCAGCCGTCTCTTGCCTCCGTTTCTACACTTTCGCAGCGCGCCTTACTGCTGCCTTTTCGAGATGAAGTGTTATTGTACCACAAAATTGAGTGTTATTGCTTCAAAGTATCCTGACAGCTTAAACTTAATTGTTCTTCAGTTCTAATGCGAGATCAGCCATCGGCATTGCGCCTACATCAAAATTGAGTGTTCTTGTCACTGAATATCGTTGTGACCTTATCTCAGTTGCATTCTCGCATATCACAACTTTGGCTGGCGGCAAAATATTCCTTCGAGAGCCATTGTTCCTAGTATATTGATCATCACTGCCCGTCTGACTATTCAAAATCTATTCGAGAGACTTTTTTCTATATCTATTCTCTTTCGTTCTTTGTTTCTTCCTTTCTCTTGTTTTTTTTTTTTTTTTTTTTTGTTTTTTTTATCTACATCTCTTTTTCTTCACATTGAAAAGAAGATTGCTGCAACTATGTCGGCATTTTCTCTCTTTTATTAATTCAGTACGAAGAATGATTCTTTTTTGTAAGAAAGACCAAAATAGGTTTCCTTATTACTTTTGTTGCTATAATAATAATAATAATAATAATAATAATAATAATAATGGCCGTTCGTTTTTGGATATGCCTGTCTGCTAGGGCGGGTTGCCAATCCTTGTTGTAGACGCCTGCTCAGGCACATTTATGTTTGTTCAATACCCATAAAACCCACCTATCATGCGAATTTATTCTATCACAAAACTCTACGAAATAACTCACTTTGTATAAAAATGGCTTTCATTTTTACTAAAAAAAAAAAATTTTATAAATAAATTTAGTAAGGACGTAAAGATACTGGTTCGATATATGGAGTTGCGTTCTTCCGCCACCTGATGCAAAACGGGAATAGCGTTTTTAAATATAAATCTTTACATAATAAATATTGTGACTGCTTATTCGAGAGATTGCCTCCCTTGTTTTTTTTTGGGGGGGGGGGGGTTCTTGATGTCTCTACAACCTCACAAAGTGCCACATACTTCACAACTTGTTGTGGGCACCTCGAGGTGGTGTAATGGTTAGCAAGCTTGTCTCATTAGAACGACAGAGTAGTGAGTTCGATCCTGACTAGGTGCCCAAAACTTTCGGCCTTGTGCCATATCTGAGCTACGCTTGAAAAATCACTACTTCACAAGTTGTTGTGTTTATTATTATTATTATTATTATTGTTCTTCTTCTTCTCACATCACCACTGAAACATGAGTTCCCGTACGATCACCGAAGTTAAGCAACATCGAACCTGGTCAGTACCTAGATGGGTGACCACTTGGGAATACCAGGTACTCTAAGCTTGGATGTACGGGTTGGGTAATGGATAATGTTTCGGAATTGTTAATTGGAGAGACGGGTTCCAAATAAATCGAGTAAATTCACTTGGGAAAGGCATGAATCCACATCGTCTCGCCTTAGTTAATAAGAGTTGTATCACTAAATCATTATTATCCCCCCCACACACACACACACGAAAAAAAATTCCCGTGCTACTGGAAGTTTGAATGTGTAATGAGAAATAGCAGAGAATTGTTAAACGGTGTGTCGAGTTCAAATTCCAGTTGGGCTCGTTATATTTACTTACGCACAAATACCCTTGGGAAAAGTATGAATCCACCTCTTCTCTCCCCCAGCTATGGGTTAATTAGTAAGACTTGTGTCACTAAATCATTAATATCTAAAAAAAAATTCTTACGATCTAAAAATATTTTATGGTTTTAAATAACCTACAAAGGGTAGAATAGTCACTGAAAACGAATTTCTTCTTCTTCCTGCTTAATATAATCCCTTACCGAGGCATTACTAGAGACCTGACTAATGTAATGTCGTAAATATATATGTATACTGATTGCACAAATACTGATGTTAAGTGATACTTAACGCGACAGTTTATATATATATATATATATATATATATATATATGGAGGAGAGAGAGAGATTTAAGGTACTTAGAGCCTTATATTCATTCATGTTCTTATATTCTTTGTCATAGTCTTTCACACACACACATACACACATACACACACACACACATATATATATATTATAAATTAATTGATTTAAAATATGTTTTTTCGCTACACAGTTCTAACCAGGTTTCAAAAATGGAAGCTAAAAGCTTCGAATTTAATTTTGTAATTAAATTAAAGACATTAGTTCCATTTCATAAAAATTCCAGACGACTTGCATTTAACAGATGTCAGAATTCATTGAAAAATACATCCTTATCCCTACCAAAACGTAACTAATAACTGATACATCAAAATACAGCGATAATGAACACGCAACCACCCCTTGTCTGGCTGAATAGATTTCTCTGTATCCTTGGAAACGTGAATTATGAATTTTTGCTGTGCCTTTAAAACCCAGTAATTTTAAAAATAAGTTATTCCAAAATTCGCTTGAGGATGAAATGGAACTAATGTCTTTAATTTAATTACAAAATTAAATTCGAAGCTTTTAGCTTCCATTTTTCGAAACATGGTTAGAACTGTGTAGCAAGAAAACCATATTTTAAATCAATTAATTTATAATATTAATGCTCTGTAAATTTACATTCATTGAGCACTATTTTGTAAAACTAAAATATCTATAAGAACACCGGATTATATATCTTACTGTTCTTATATATATATATATATATATATATATATATATATATATGAAGAAATATAGTGTTAAGGCGTGCTATATTTATGGGATAAAGTGCTCAATATCAGAGATAGAGCGTGTGTAAATATAGAGTAATTATAGAAGTCAAACTTAGGAGACAGTCTGTTTCATGCTATATGCAATCGTATTGCATATAGCATGAAACAGACTGTCACCTCTAAGTGTTCTATGTTCTTTTATATATATATATATATATATATATATATATATATATATATATATGGTGTCCATAAAGTTCGTGTGCATTTTTAAAAATTTATAACTTTATTTGTATTTTATGATAGAAATAATTTGTAAAAAGGATTAGAATTAGGATTAGATCTATATATTTCAAGGTTTTATTGAAATTTTATTTAAGCTTCCACATGTCCTCCATCATTAGCAATACAAGGGGTAATACGCTGGAAAAAAGAAAATATTTTTTTACTTATCTAAAAATTGTTGCAAATTTTGTGGTAAAGAATTATTCAATAACTATACTTAAAACTAGGTACATTAAACTTTATAACATTTTTTACAGATTATTTCTATCGCAAATACAAATAAAGTAATAATTTTTTAAAGTGCACACGAACTTTATGGACACCTGTATGTATGTATGTATGTATGTATGTATGTATAGATAGATAGATAGATAGATAGATAGATAGATAGATAGATAGATAGATAGATATTAGTGGTTAATATACATATATATATACATACATACATATACAAATATATGTAAAAAATTCCCAAGAGGATAGAATAAACTCAATGTCCAGGGCAGAGTAAGGATATAATAAAAAGGCTGAAACACTAATATTCCATGGTTATAATTTATTACATTGGAATCGTAATTACGATCCAATTCATCAGACCTACAAATTCAAAAAAAGGTTATTTTTTTTATTTGAATTTGTAGGTCTAATGAATTAGATCGTAATTGCGATTCCAATGTAATAAATTATAACCATGGAATATTAGTGTTTAAGCCTTTTTATTATATATATATATATATATATATATATATATATACTATCATCCACAGACAGACGGTTTCGTTGTATCACAGCTCTTCAGTGTGGCTAGACGTTCGATTGCTTCAAGCCGGGATCGAAATCCGACCGATTTGACATCGGTCGCGGAAAGGGAAATTTTAACATTAATGAAATTAATGAAAATATGAAACGTTTTTAACATGTTTCCATTTTATTAAAGCTTCATCAGATCCATATTTCGTCTGTATTTGATCCCAATTTATATACATCTAGTCATTGGTTCTGTTGTAATACTTCGGTCTATCGCGTGGTATGATGTCATAGAACCGCATCTTGAACTTACGATCTGCGTCTGCTACTCTGCTACCGTTATAGTCACACAACAATCTTTTATGTCAAAATAACAAAATATCATCTTTGACGGTGGATATCTTTGTTTCATGTCTGTATAACCACTGCAGGTGAGGCCCAGTAAGTGATATCTTCGGGTCGGGTAACCCAACCCGTTCAAGCAGTCTCCGATTGAGGGTGTTAGCAAGTATCTAGATGTGACGCCCAAGTCACCTTGGCTGCCTTCCTCATCCTTCAAACTTTAAAAAAACTCTCAGCACCCAGGTATTTTCTCCCACTCTCCGACTACTCCCGTTTAAATGAAAGAAGCACAATCCGTCAGCATCAGGTGAATGGGCACAACTTTATTATTATTACCCTTATTTTATTTCCTTTGATTTCTGGCGTGCACTCAATCATTTCTGGGTCCCGCACAGAAGCCTAAGGTCAGAAATGGCATCATGACATTTTCCACTGAGCAATTAAAAAAAATATATTTTACATCGAAAAGTGTGGACTGTACTCGTGAGAATTATTATTATTATTATTATTATTATTATTATTATTTCCTTTGATTTCTGGTGTGTACACATTTCTTTCCGGGTTCCTCCTACAGGTCAGAAATGGCATCATTTTTTCACTGAGCAATTTAAAAAAAAATATGAACAACACACACTTTATATAGATAGATAAAGCCCTTCGTAAGTTGGGCTGTACTCGTGAGAACAATTTTCTTTTTTGTATTTCTTTAAGGCATGGGATTCCAGGAATTCCTTCAATGACTCATCTACTGGAATCTTTTCCAACCAATCCGAGGGTTCCAACTACAACAGGGATTGTTGATGTTCCCATGCGCCACATTTTTGAGATTTCGATTTCAAGGTCCTTATATTATTCTTATTCTTATTCTTCTTCTTCTTCTTATTATTATTATTATTATTATTATTATTATTTCCTTTGATTTTTGTTGGATACTCATTTCCTTCCGGTCTCCACCAGAGGCCCAATTTTTTAGATTTCCACTTCAAGATTCTTGTATTTTGATAATTCTTTTATTTATATTTAAAAAAAATCTTCAAAGATACATTACAGTCTCTAGAAATTGTCACGTAAATAAGAAAGCACATTCTATTTTTGTGGTCTTTGATTACTATCTGTGGGCGATTAGCATTGATTATTATTATTATTATTGCTGTTGTTCTTCTTGTTCTTGTTGCTGTTGTTCTTATTGTTATTGCTACTGCTGTTGTAATAAGTTCCAAAAATTTTGTGGCGGACTTCACCACATTAATAAGGAGAAGACAAAAAGATCATTGCACATAACATTTGTATTTAATAAGATGTACAAACAAGGATGTGAAAGAAAGGCATGCATTGAGTGAAACAAGAGTTGTCTCTCTTTAACTATTATTTGCGTTCCAAAGTTCAATGAAAGAAAGTTTGTGAGAGTTTCTTGTAATAAATGTTTCAACAGTTTTGCTGTGTAAGGAAAAAAATTATGTGAGTATAGGGAATATTCAGCATGTGAGTTGTGGTGCGAGTAAGAAGGTTGGAAAAGTTCGTACGTACGTGAATGCATGAAATATTATTTAACGTCTGACCGCATGGTCGAGAAGATAATTCTTTAAGGTCCCATCTTCGCAGGAAGAAGAGATAAAAAAGAGAGAGAGGTAAACTCGTGTTTACTATTTATAGATAATGTAATCACGTGATAGAATCACAGCACCTTGGCGGGAAACTTGACTTAGTCACGCACTGGAAAAATATATTGTGCGTGGGTGGATTGCAACGCCCACTTGTGTGTTTATTGACCAATTATCGAGCGAGTTTGGGGGAGACCTAAGAAAGCCTCTGGGATCCGATTCTCCCAAAAGTGCACGAAATCGACAACATGAAAATATAGCGATTATAAAATTGTTGCATAGCTGCGATTTATAAATTGTCCATTACACAGTAGTGTTGATTTATTATTCAATGAAAGCTTGTTGTATAATGTGAATTTGTGTAAGTATGTATGTATGTGTGTGATGATGATCATCATCATCACAGTTTAAATATCCATCGATCACGAACTTTCCACAAGATTAGAGAAAATAAAAACTATTCAGTGTATTAAAAATTAATCTAGTTTCATAAAATTTATATTATTGAAAAATAGAGGAATTAAAGAAAAAACCTTGATATCAAACAAATGTTCTTACTTTGTGTAGAAATGGATTTATTTGCTTCTGTAATTTGTATTTACTATTGTTTACCCTTTGGGGCAAAAATTACGCGTAAGAAAAATAAATTTCAACGTTGATAAGATAA